CCCTGCTGCACCCTGCACTCCTCCTGCATCCCAACCCACTGCCCTGAGCCCCCTGCTGCACCCCTCCTGCACCCTGACCCCCTGCCCTCGAGCCCCCTGCTGCACCCTGACCCCCTGCTGCACCCTGCACTCCTCCTGCATCCCAACCCACTGCCCTGAGCCCCCTGCTGCACCCCTCCTGCACCCTGCCCCCCTGCCCTGAGCCCCTTGCTGCACTCTGCACCCTGCACCCTGACCCCCGCCGCACCCCTCACCCCTCCTGCACCCCACACCCCAACTCCCTGCCCTGAGCCCCCACCACACCCCACACCCCTCCTGCACCCCCTGGGGGCAGGGAAGGGGTGGGAAGAGGCGGGGCAGGGGTGGGGCCTCATGGAAGGGGTGGAGTGTGGGCGGGGCCGAGGGTGGCAGGGGGGAGGTGTCAGTAAATGCGGCCCTCGGGCCAATGTACTAGTCCTCCTGTGGCCCTCGTGGTCATTTGAGTTTGAGGCCCCTGCTCTAGGCTTTTTCCCAGGGCCAAACTCCCAGTGTCTATTCAGGATGTGTCCTTCACTTTCTGCTTCTTATCTGTGTCTGTTACTGCTTTGTTCTTCCTGCCTTCCTCTCACATATACACCTCTACTGAAACAATACCCACTGAAACCTCTCTGCCCATATATACCGCACATGTGCCTTTCTCTTGGGCCGTATCATTTGCTTGTGTTATTGGTGGAAAATGCTATTGTTTCAGCTACCTGGTTACATAAAGGAGCTCAATTACTTTTCCCATTGATACTGAATGAAAGGCAGCTGTTAGACCCACCAACTTTTATGGGGTTTAGCCCAACCCATAACATTATAAACAGGGCAAAGAGCTCAGAGGAACAGAAATCTGAGTCAGCAGTGTAGCACTTTTGCAAAAAAAGCAAACATCATGCTGGGACGTATTAGCAGGAGTGTTGTAAGCAAGACACAAGAAGTAATTCTTCCGCTCTACTCCAGGCTGATTAGGCCTTAGCTGGAGTATTGTGTCCAGTTCTAGGTGCCACATTTCAGGAAAGATGTGGACAAATTGGAGAAAGTCCAGAGAAGAGCAACAAAAACAATTAAAGGTCTAGAAAACATGACCTATGAGGGAAGATAGAAAAAATTGGGTTTGTTTAGTCTGGAGAAGAGACTAAAGGGGGGGGGACATAACAGTTTTCAAATACATAAAAGGCTGTTACAAGGAGAAGGGAGGTAACTTGTTCTTGTTAACATCTGAAGATGGGACAAGAAGCAATGGGCTTAAATTGCAGCAAGAGAGGTTTAGGTTGGACATTAGGAAAAACTTCCTAACTGTCAGGTTAGTTAAGCACTGGAATAAATTGCCTAGGAAGGCTGTGGAATCTCCATCATTGGAGGTTTTTAAAAGCAGGTTAGGCAAACATCTGCCAGGGGTGGTCTAGATAATATTCTTCTTCGCCTTGCCACTAGTGTAGGGGACTGGATTAGATGACCTATTGAGGTCCCTTCCAGTCCTACACTTCTATGATTCTATTAAATCCGATGCATTGAGAGATCTGTGCTGTAGCCCCTAATTTATTCCATGTGAGTAGAGTGAGGCCTCAGAAGGGAACATGTGTCTACGTGCCTTGCTTCCATGTGGAGAATCATGATTAAATCCATGACTTGTTAGACATAACTATTATCCACCCACATTCACCCCCAAAACACAAGCCAATCCAAATTTGGATGGAGCTCTCCTGTATGTGAAGCGTCCTGCCCCTGTGGTTCAAATATTGTCCCACCTCAGAACAAGACCATCTTGAAAGAATGGTTTTCTTATTTGGCTATAAATGTTTAGCCACCTGTCACACGTAGCTTAGCACTCAAACAGTAGTTCATCTAACCAGGATGGGCAGGGATGGTGTCCCCAGGGCTGGTTCCAGGCACCAGACGAGGAAGCACGTGCCTGGGGCGGCACATTGTATGGGGCGGCATTCCGGCCAATCTTCGGGTGGCACAGTCCACAGTCCGGCCACCCTGCCACTTTGTTGTTTTTGGGGGGTTTTTTTGCTTCGGCAGTCCGGCCGCATTTTTTTTATTTTATTTTTTTTGGCTTGGGGGGCAAAAAAGCTAGAGCCGGCCCTGGGTGTCCCTAGCCTCTGTTTGCCAGAAGCTGGAAATGGGCGACAGCGGATGGATCACTTGATGATTACCTGTTCTGTTCATTCCCTCTGGGGTACCAGGCATTGACCACTGTCGGAAGACAGAATACTGGGCTAGATGGACCTTTGGTCTGACTCATTTTTATGGCCATTTTTATGTTCTTAGTGTCAGTGCAACTAAAACACTCATGATTTAGGTGCTTTAATAAATGCTCCTCTAGGAGCTACTGCAAATATCTACAACCACCGTTCTCAACATCTTTGATGTAAATAACATACAAAATGAGACAACTCCATATTTATGTGGGATGGAGGTAAATCTGGGCCTTAAATGTTATCTGTAAGTTATTTTCTTCCTATCATAGCTGGAGATAACCGTTAGTCTGGTAAAGGGAGGGTGAGGGAAGAATAGGCTTTTCGAGGAGATGGATATTACACCCCATTTTGTAGGTCCTGATATGGATAACTGAGAAGTTTGAGCAATGCTGCTGTGAGCTGAGGACAGAGAGATCTGATTGTGGGCATTCTATACAATTTCTTGGATTCTCTGAATTTCCTTTAGTGATGGTTTCTGTCTTTTAGGGCTAGATTTTCAAGAGTTCATCACAATGGCTCTGGAGCTGTTTTGAAAATTTGGCCAGCTCATTCTAGCATGTTTCTCATCCACATATAGGACAGGAGAGTCATTATATCCTCCTATTCCCTCTTCCACTTAACACCAGGGATATCACATTCACCTCTCTCATTACCCTCAACCTTTCCTACATGCACAATATTAGCCATCCAAAAGAGGTAGGTCTGTCATCCCCAGCTGAATGTACCCAAATACCCCTCTTTCTCCAACTACCAGTTCTACCACAATCCCCTGTAATAGAAACCTAAAGATAAAACAAAACACAATAAAACAAATTCCCTCCACACTGAATGAGTAGCACCTCTTCGATCAAATGAGCAAATACCATTCCAAATACTCGCTCCATAAGTGAGAAAATGCCAAACACTCCTATCTTCTCACCATGCCCCCACCAAATACCCCACCCACAAATAACTCCCTCCCAGAAATAGCTAACGAAAATATGCCTGATCATGTTTCCACTCCCTGTTCTTAGGAGGTGGCTGGAGGAGATGGGGGAGGAGATAGTCCTTCCTGTAGGGGATAAATGGATTTAAAGACCTCTTTCTCTAAATCCAGGACAATGAAACACTACTCATGAACTTCTGGTGCACAGACGCCTACTTTTACCTTTCCCCAGGGTGCTCCACCACTGCTCGACCCCACCCCTTCCCCCAAGGCCCGACCCTTGCTCTGCCTCTTCCCACCCCTGCTCCATCCCACCCCACCTCTTCCCAGCCCCATTCCACCCCCTCTCCCAAGCGTGCCCTGCCTTCGCTCCACTTCTTCCTGTCCCCGCTCCTCTCCCTCCCCCCAGCACCTCCTGCACACTGCCAAACAGCTGATTGGCGGTGGGCAGGAGGTTCTGGAGGGGATGGGGAAAGAGCTGATCAGTGGGGCCTGCCAACAGCTGATCGGCAGGTGGCCGAAGGGTGCTGAGCACCCACTATTTTTTCCCCATGGGTGCTCAAGCCCCGGAGCACCCATAGAGTCAGTGCCTTTGGGCTAGTGTAAAGAATCATGATGACATTCAAACCAATAACAATATGCTTACAAACCTGTCATTTAACTTGTAATTTTTGAAACTCTACGACTTTTATGATAAAATGAACATGGACTGAATAGAATGTGATGGCTTCCCAGATGTTATCAACTTAAAGTAATAACATATTTAAAATGACTAGTTGTGAATATGTAAATATTATTAAATATGTTTTTGGATGATCTATACCAAAAGGAAAACTCTCTTTCCTCCTTCCAGTGAATGTGACTCTGGATCGAGAAACGGCACATCCTGAACTCTGGGTCTCAGAGGACCTCAAAAGTGTGAAATGTGCAGACATAACGGAGGAACAACCTGAAGATCTGGACACTGTTGATTCTTATCGCTGTGTCCTGGGCTCTGAGAGATTTAACTCTGGGAGACATTACTGGGAAGTGGAGCTTAAGAACAAGACTATGTGGCACCTGGGGGTTTGTGCTGAATCAGAAAACAGGGAGAGGTACAAAAGTATAGCACCTGAAGGTGGATACTGGGCCATAAGGTTGTGGAATGGAGAATACAAAGCCCTCTCCACTCCTCGGACAACAATCACCTTGGAAATGAAACCCACAAGGGTTGGGATTTTTCTGGACTATAAGGCAGGAGAGCTCTCATTTTACAATTTGTCTGATGACTCCCATATCTACACTTTCAAATATAGCTTCCCTGGGACACTCCGGCCTTTCTTCAGTCCAGGTATACATGGATCTAAAGAAGATGCTCCCCTGACCATCTTCCCAGTTACAGCCTACCAAACAGCTGATCGGCAGGTGGCCGATGGGTGCTGAGCACCCACTATTTTTTTCCCATGGGTGCTCAAGCCCCGGAGTATCCATAGAGTCAGGGGGGACGGATAGCTCAGCAGTTTGAGCATTGGTCTGCTAAACCCATGGTTGTGAGCTCAATCCTTGAGGGGGCCATTTAGGGATCTGGGGGTGCAAAAAAAAATAGTTGGGGGATTGGCCCTGCTTTGAGCCAAGGGTTGGACTAGATGAGGTCCCTTCCAACCCTGATATTCTATGATTTATATCTACCATTACAATTTTCTATCTGTCAGGCACACACAGGAAAAATGTTTGATAAGATGTTTGATGATGGGGAAATATCAAGTCAAGCTGGTTGAAAATTGAGAGACAAAATGTTTTTTCTTCGGAAAATACCATTTCATCGATATCTGAACTTTCCAGGGTCGATTTCATCAAAACTTAGTTTAGAAAAAAAATTAAACAAAGCATTTCATTCATGTTGAAATGCCCCTTTTGATACTTACAGAACAAAACATTTTGATTTTTTGTTTCAAAATGACCTTTGTTTAACATTTTATTGTATATAATATAATAAAAGGAATAAAGGCAAAATTGAAACAAAATCTTTTATTTAAATAGATTTCTACTAATCTTGCCTGGTCCCAGTCAAGCCAGAGATTCTCCTTCTGGATCCAGGTTCTGCACATGGGACAGCACAAAGGGTCATAGTCCCCCTCTGTCCATGTGTCACAGTGCTGAGGGATGCAGCCCCGGCAGAAGTTGTGCCCACAGTCTACACTCACCGGCTCTGTGAAATAGTCTCTGCAGATGGGACATTTGGTTTCCTCTTAGAGTCCCTATCCAGAAGTCCCTGAAGCCATGGCTGCTAGGAGCTGGGCTTCTGTTATCTCTGCCTTCTGCTCCGAATCAGAAGTGATTTTGCTGATAATGGAAGGTCCCTGCCTGACCTGCTATCAGCTGCTCTCCAGCTAAGACAGAGCACAGATGGTGACACAGCACAGAGGAGAATGTGTTTGTTTTGGGGATGATTATTCATTTACTAATCTGACCCCATGGCTTCCCTGGGGACAAGCTTGAATTCCACAGAGATGGGTAAATCTCCCATTTTAAGTGCTGACAGGAACATGTTTGCTCCCGCAGAGATGCCCTGTGCTAATGAGCACAGTAGCATGTGATCTTGTAATGAGAGATTGTATCCTAATACCAAGACACAAGGGAAAAGAAATAACTTTGCCCACACATCCTTGATTCTGGCACTGCCTAACTGAAACTGCTTGACTTTTCAGCCTTAAGAACTTCCTTTAAAAGGAACAGGTTGAGGATAATGTTGATATTAAGCCCTCCTAATTTTTCTGCTCTTCTATATAATTAGCTAATATGCAAACCTGTCCAACACTTTCAAAAGACAAGCCTGGGAGCTTAAATTCATAACTGCTAAACACCTAAAATCAAGGACTGAACAGACACACTGGATTTATGGCTTATTAGGACAAGCTGTAACCTGCTACCCCTCTCTTTTTGTCCTATGACTGCAGAGGTGTTAATGGTCTGCCTTGAATGGTCACTTACAATATGTGCTAACTACTTATGCCAAACAATCTGTTCCAACTTGCATTATGCTGTGATGCTCGGAGTACCTTTCCCAGCCCTGCAGAAGAGCTCTGTGTGGCTCGAAAGCTTGTCTCTTTCATCAAGGGAAGTTGGTCCAATAAAACATATTATCTCACCTGCCTTGTCCCCCAAGAGAGACAGAGTTTAGCCCTAGATTGGATACAAGCTACCACTGGCTGAAGCTTGGTTTGAACAGTGGCAATTGCACATGCCCTTGAGCTATTCAACTTCATGAGAAATGGTACACTCAAAAGCCTGTTGGCTGACTTTTCTGGGCATGCTCAGTGTAATCAGTTTAATTCATGAGCGTTAGGTAGGTGACTAACCTGAGACCTAGCTCTCTTGCCAACATCATTTTTAAAGGGAAAGTAGATGCCATGCATTAGCTATGATACATGTGCAGAGCTAGCACCGGCGCTGACTTTCGTTTTTCTGAGTGGGTGCTTCCACCACTGCTCTGCCCCAAGGCCCCGCCCCACTCTGCCTCTTCCCATCCCCACTTCGCCCCAGTTCTGCCCCCTCCCTAAGCACCTCCTACCCGCCGCCAAACACACCCACTATTTTTTTCCCATGGGTGCTACAGCCCCGGAGCACCCACGGAGTCGGAGCCTATGAGTGCTAGAGATCCCCGTGCCCAGATCAGAGCCATGGTTTGACCCTGCGACCCAAAACATCCAGGTATATGCACCTCTCTGCATTATTGCAACAATCTTTGCACAAAATAGGCCTTGTGAGGTATCATTTAAAAATGAATCACTTGCTGCTCAACCATACCATGATGAAATGTATGTAGCAACACTATATGTAAACTTACGAGTTCCCCTGTATGATGTTACTAGAACATATTCAAGTCCAGACAACCTTGCCTCAGTAAAGGTGTGACATACGTCTGTCCTAAACAAAGGAATGCGTGTTTACCTCAATTTACCTATAAACCGGACTATCCAGACATCAGCGGGAGGAGATTGCAGAGAACAGAACAATTTGAATTTTAGCTAATACCAGCAGGGGGGAAAAACCATCACCACATGACCCCATGTTGCCTTCCTCACATAAACTTTACTTGGAGGAGTAACATTCAGGAGAATACATTGCAAAGGTTTACTGGTGTATAAAGATGGAGGGGCTGAATCTCAAGGGATAAGCAATTGAATCAACTGATTGGATACAATATTACTGTACTGATAAAAGTATATCGAGTGAGGTCTTTTCTGAAAGCTAATGACACACTGGTGATTAATAGCATTGTGAAATGTCCATATTAACGCTATACGAGGAAATATGGACACCTAATGATATTATGCTTTAAAGTTGGTGGCCAGACAAGGAGAAATAGGTAGGAGAGAAGGCAGCTATCTACCTGGCTGCAATGAAAGGTGAAATGCAAGTAGGGTGACCAGACAGCAAGTGTGAAAAATTGGGACGGGGTGGGGGGTAATAGGCGCCTATATAAGACAAAGCCCAAAATATCAGGACTGTCCCTATAAAATTAGGACATCTGTTCACCCTAAATGCAAGGTTTAACCAAAAACAATGGAAGCCCCATTTACATAGAAATCAGCAGGGGGTTGGGAAGTCCACAGGAAGGGAAGTAGAGCATGAGGTCATCCTGCCTCTTAAAGCAAGGTCATTGAAATTTGGAAAACAAGGACAGAAGCCATCTTTGGGATCCTTCACTAGACAGACACAAAGGAATAGATCTCTTGCAAGCTCAGAAAGATGGGCCCTTCAACCAAGGGAGGGGTTGAAGTCTCTGGGAACTGAAGATAGGAAAGAAATCCACTTAGGCAAAGGTCTTTCACCCAGGTGGACAAGGGAAACCAGCCCCTTGGCCTTCTGCAGAAGAGCCTGGCTGAGAGAAATTCAGCCCTGGCTGGCAAGAAGGAAGATTGCTGAGAGAAACCATCTTGAATAAAGCCCATACCTCGCTAGATTCAGTTTTTGACTTTTAGATGCAAATTTTCACTTTCATTTGCTTGTAACCATCTCTACTTTTATTCCTTTTCTCAGCATCACTTAACCTATGACCTTTTGTTAATAAATTTGTTTGACATTGCACATTGCCGAGCACACCGTTTGGGCAAAATTCAGGACTGGGAGTGCATTGGGGTCACCCTGCTGGTGGTAACCCAGGCTGGTAGAGAGCAGGGAGTGGGCCTGCTGTGTTGCTGGGATCAGAGTGGCTGGACCAGGGTGGCAGTTATACACAGACACTCAGGCTGTGACCTGCATGCTTGTTGCTGACTGTGACTGTCCCAGGCAGGGAGTTACAGTAGCAAAGCATTGTGAGGCTCTCAGGGTTACAGGGTCAGAAGTGATGCATCCTCCAACCCTGTGACAGATCCCCAGATCTGGGCAAAAAAACTTTGGTGGAACCTCTCAACTTTGCAAAAAGCAACTGTTGTCAGGGGGCTATATCTCAGGAACCCCATATTTAAATGACCCCAAATTTAGTTCACTCACCCTACCCCACAAACCCATGAGGTACACCAAATATCAGAGCTATCCGAGTAACCATGCAGGTTTTAGAGCACTTAGAAGAGACAAGCATTAAACAGAAAGCTGGTCCTAACAACAGCAGAGGCTGGCAGCCTGCTACAATTTCTCTACTGTGTGGAGTCTCTCACGTCCAATATGATGTGAACTCTGCTTGAAACATTTGCCACACTATGGACGTTTAGGAGGTCTCTATCCTGTATGGATTTGCAGAAGCCACTTATGATCATAGCCCCAAGTGAAGAGTCACCCACATTCAGGTCCTCTTCGCCGTGTGGATTTTCTGATGTTTAATAAGATGTGAGCTCCGCTGGAAACTTTTCCCACAGTCCAGGCACTTATAGGGTCTCTCTCCTGTGTGGGTCCTCTGATGCGTAATAAGGTTTGAGTTGACACTAAAACTTTTCCCACAGTCAAAGCATTTATAGGGCTTCTCTCCCGTGTGGGTTCTCTGATGCACAATAAGGTGGGAACTCCGACTGAAGGTTTTCCCACAGTCCAAGCATTTAAAAGGTTTCTCTCCCGTATGGATTCTCTGATGCACAATAAGCTGTGAGCTCTGAATGAATGTTTCCCCACAGTCAGTGCACTTATAGGGCTCCTCTCCTGTGTGGATTCCCTGGTGTCTAATAAGGTGTGACTTCTGAGTGAAATTTTTCCCACAGATGAGGCACTTATGGGGTTTCTCTCCCAAATGGAGACTCTGATGTCTAATCAGGTGTGAGCTCTGTATAAAACTTTTCCCGCAGTCAAGGCATTTATAGGGTCTCTCTCCTGTATGGAGTCGTTGATGTGAAATAAGATCGGAGCTCTGAATGAAACTTTTCCCGCAGTCCAAGCATTTATAGGGTCGCTCTCCCGTGTGGTGTTGCCGGTGTGTAAGAAGGTTTGAGCTCAGGCTGAAACTTTTCCCACAGTCCAAGCATTTATAGGGTCGCTCTCCTGTGTGGGTTCTCTGGTGGGTAAGAAGGTTTGAGCTCAGATTGAAGCTTTTCCCACAGTCCAAGCACTTGAAGGGTCTTTCCCCTGTGAGAGTTCTTTGTTGTCTAGGAAGGTGTGAACTGTCATTAAAACTTTTCCCAAACTCAGTGGATGTGTTTTTTCTCTCTCCCATTTGGATTCCTTGCTGGGATGTGGTTTTCTTGAGATTCCCGCAGCCTCTCCCACAACAAATAGATTTATCCACTTTTTTTCTAGCTGCCTCTCTTACAACTCTGGAAGAAATTCCCTTCAGTTCTTCCTGATAACGTCCCACGCAGTTACACTTGCTGAGGATTTTCTGCTGAGGATTCTCCTCCTTTGTTCTCACTCACTGTCCCATCACCTGCTGGGAGAGAGAGAGAGATACAATCCAGAGAGGAGTCATTCCATGGGCCGGAAAGAAAGGAGAACAGCAAAGAGCTGAAACACAACATAATAACTGCTTAGGAGATTGAGGAATTGGATTCTGCCTCCCCATCCCATCCAAACACTCAGGGGGAAACAAAGTCAAGGCAGAAACTCCTGCTAGCTGTCAGTTAGGACAGGTGGGAAGCCAGGAGTATATGATGTATGGCAGTGCAGTGTAGCCGTGTCGGTCCCAGGGTATTAAAGAAACAAGGTGGGTGAGGTAACGTCTTTTATTGGACCAACTTCTGTTGGGGAGAGAGACAAGTTCATGAGTGCATGATGACACCTACTGGTTCAACCCTGGTTGGACTGAGATGCAGAACTGGGGGAGTCTGATCCCAAATAGAGCTGGGTTAAATTTTTTGGCCAGAGTATAGTTGCTGAAGAACATAGTTTCAGTCAACCTGAAACTATTTGTGAATTTGATAGAACTCACCAAATAATTTCAGTCCCCCCACACATCCCAAAATTGTGGAGGGACCGAGGCACCTTTCATAAAATAGCCAGAAGAGAAGATATTGGTGCCTCCTTTATAACCTTTACCCTGGCGGCTAGGGCACTTGCTTGGGATGTGGAGAAGGGATTTGAATGTGGGTCTCCCAACATTGCAGGAGTACTAACATCTTTGGCTAATAATGTTAAAAATTCTGACCTTATTTCTAATCAGAATTTGTCTGGCTTTAACTTCCAGCCATTAGTTTTTGTTATGCCTTTCTCCGCTAGATGAAAGAAATTTTAAGTAGCTGATATTTTCTCCCTGTAATCAAGTCAATAATTCATGGCAATAGTTCTGCAAAACTGAGGGAATTGTCTATTATTCAATAATTATAGGTGGCAAAACATCAGTGAATACTGAGATTTTTTTTTATCAGGATTGATAAGTGAGCGAGAAAATGAGGCAAATCTATGAAAATGTACATATCTTCACTAATTAAACAAAAAACCCAGCAAAATCTGATAGGTTTTTATATTAATAATGCATATGTAGATGAAAACAATAAGCAATATTTACACAGAGATTAATAATGTATAAATACAGAGAAATGGATCAAAATCAGATAGGAAATTATATCCAAATTCAATAAGAGAAAAAATCTGTAGGATGGTCCAGCAATGTTTGATTATTGGAGAGAAAGGTGGCCAGAGAAGATACTTATAAAGAGACACATCAGAATTGAAGGGTTTGGGCTTTTTTCTCCCCTATATTACCTTCAAAAACTACATTAAGAAAATGTTACTACGGTTGCAAAGTCCACCACTCACAGCTAGGCTGGGCCAGAATAAAGGGTATCTGGGGAATATCGATTTCGTCCGCGCATTATACTGTAATACAATCTCTAATGCTAGAATCACATACTGCACTGTTCATTAACACAGGACCCTGCCTCCTTGTAGCTGGGATGTATTTGCTGCAGGAAACATGTCCCTGTCAGCAGCTGAATAGTGAAGAGATTTCTGTGGAATTCGGGGGGGGGGGGGGCAGGGGCTGGGAGGGAGGATGGATGGGAAGTAATGGGTTTGGTTTTTAAAGGAAGAATAACCACCATTCCACAAACACACCCTCTCCATTCCCCTCACTGCTTTTCCTTCGTTCTGCCTCCAGATTCACCCCCTTCCCTTTCTGACAATCCAGAACACAAAGGGGAAAACCCAGTGGGTGGGGCCCGTTCCTGGTTTCCCCTTCCCTGTTTCCCCTCCTGAATCCCCCAGTTTGGCCCCCGGAGCAGATCCCCCACAAAGGGGTGCTGCTAAGGCCAGATCAACCCCCAGGCAACTTCACACAGCTGCCAGATCCGAGTCTCCTGGGGCCCTTTGTGCAGTGACTTTCCTGCCCATCCCTCCATCACCTGGAGTCTCTGGCTCAGGAGCTGATGTTGGCAGAGCCTGGGGACGCCCAGGGGGCTATTCCAAAAAGTCCCCACCTGGGCTGGGCACAGAAGGCGCTTTAATGAAGGTCTCGCCCCTGCCCAGACCCGGCTGGGGAGCAGCAGCTGCTGGTATCTCCCCAGATGACAAGGCAGGAGACAGCAGCTCCTGACCCAGGAAGATAAACAGAGCCAGGGCAAACACAGCTTCCCCTCCCCTCCCCGCCGGAGCAAGAACCAGAGCCCTCTGGATACAGCAGCTGATGAAGCTCTCCACCCCCGAACCTAGCACAGCCCTGGCCCAGGAACGATCTGGGGCCAGAGCCCGTCTCTCTCTGCCCTTGAACCCTAGAAACCTGCAGAGCAAATAGCAGACAGATCAGTGCCACTGAGAAACGCGTCCCCTGCAGCTCGGGGCTCCGGGCAGCCTCTCTAGGGCCAGATCCAGGGCTTCATCTGTAATGTAAGAGGGGCTGGGGGCTCAAGCAATTTTTTTACATTCATAACTGATGCAACAAGCCTAGAGGTGCCGGGGTTCAGCTCTGGCACAAATTAAGCACTGCCAGACCCAGGCCCCCATTGCCCTGCGTCCCCTCTGATTTTGGAGACCCTTGGGAACAATCCCCAGTCCCCATAGAAATCCCCCCGTCCGCTGTCCCCGGGATATTGAAGTCACCCCCTTTCCATCCCACACTGAGGTAGATGCTTTAATGCACAATGCCGCTGCACCCAGGGATGTGCGTGGGGAGGGGCAAGCAGGGACACGGGATCCCCCAATCTGCGGGGGTACAGAACTCCTCTGGGGCCGGGGTGGCAGTGCTGGGGGAGAGCGAACTTCACCGGCCCCAGAGCTGCAGAGAGAACCAGGTCCTCCGGCCATGGGGCGTGGGTGGGGAAAGCCAGCTCCCCCAGTCATGGGAGACACAGAAAGTGCCCCTCCTGGGGGTGCAATCCCCGCACACACACCTAAACAGACATCTGGGGCTCAGTGACCATGTTCCCCTAGGTTCAGACCCATTCAGATTCCATGGCCCCCTCCCAGCACAGTGCGGAGCCAAAGCACAATCAAGGAATGTTCCTCTGACAAACTAAACAAACATGAGGGCGGGAGGGATAGCTCAGTGGTTTGAGCATTGGCCTGCTAAACCCAGGCTTGAGAGTTCAATCCTTGAGGGGGCCACCTAGGGATCTGGGGCAAAATCAGTACTTGGTCCTGCTAGTGAAGGCAGAGGGCTGGACTCGATGACCTTTCAAGGTCCCTTCCAGTTCTAGGAGATAGGATATCTCCATGATGCATCCTGATTTGACCCCCATTCCTGAACCTGACCTGGTCACCCAGCTAGAACAAGAGGAAGAGCTGGTGGTCCCTGATCTCCAGCTGAGGAAAGCTAGGAGAGGAACTTGCACAGGCAAAGTATCAATGAAATTGGTAGAGAAACCCTCTGATTAGTGCCAGATGCCTCCAGAAATGTTATGAGAGGGATTTCCCAGTTCCACCTCATCTCTCCAGGTCAGGGTTGTAACTAGCAGATGTCCTATCTTCATGGCAGATGTCACACACAGTTGCACACCCATCCTGGCCAACAGCTGGTAGGAACTCCCAGTCCCTCCCTGCCTTTGCTTCCCCTCTGCTGTCTGGATGGGACTGAAGACAGACTCCAATTTCTCCACCCAACAGTTCTTGTGTTTTCCTCTCTTTACTGTTCCTCTCTTTGTCCTCTCTCCCTGGCACAGAGAATGGGTCCTGTCTGGATTCTCACTCCCTATCCCAACAGGTGATGAGACAGGCAGTGAGAACAATGAAGAGAATCCCCAGCAGAATTTTAAAATATTGTGTGCAGAATTTGTATTTTTTTGGTGCAGAATTCCAACAGGAGTACCTCACACTTGTTTCTATTTGAATCTCTATTCTTAAGAAACTTTTTTTTTTAATATCATCAGACTCCAATGCTGCATGAGATACTGGAGTGGTGGCATATGGTGAAACTGGTAAACCAGGGTACGCTGTTCCTCTGGGAACAATGGAACTGGAATGTCTGTGGATATCCAGTGATGCCACAGGGGGAAACTTTGAAGGGAAGCAGGAGCTGGGGTGCATCTATTGTCAACCTGGAGGGAAAAGGTGGGGCTGGTGTAGCCCAGGGGAGAGAAGTCTGGTGGCTGAGAGGCTGGTTGTGTTAAGGTGTTAACACCCAACTGGCAAAGGCAAGACTCCCTCATGCTGGTGACAGCGAGGGAACACCCAGCCCTGAGTAGCATCACAGCACCTGTGTCTGATTGTGAATCCACAGCTGGGAAGGAAGGCAGGTTCCTAAGCTCTTTCCTTGTGGGAGCAAGTGAGTTAGACAGGCGCTTCGCTCCATGTAGCCATAGGAGAGGAGTGTGCGTGGGGGATTCCTCCTTTAAACATTCAGCCCAGGAGTTCGAGCAGTCACCCCGCTGTGGGAAACCCAGGTTCAATCCCCCCCTGCAGAAAGGATTTGATCAGGGTCCCCTCACAGCTCTTAGGAGAGTGCTCTCACCACTGGGCCATGGGATCTTCTGGTATGGGACTCCCTCAATGTGTCTTCCCCTGGCACTTTGGATGAGTCATTAAAGAAGGAGACAGGAACCTCCATGCCAGGTGCCCCCTGGACTACAGAGTTGTTCTCTCTCTCTGGCCCAGCAAAAGCCCCGGCCGCGGCTGGGCACAGCTAATGAGTCAAGTCCCCTCCTCTCCAAAACCCCAACCCTGGAGGGATCAAGTGAGCTCAGGCCCAGATTAAGACACTGGCAATTTAGGCATCAGTCTAGGGCCCAATTTGTGTGTGTATGTGGAGGAGAGGAGGGAGGTGTCAGGAGGCTGTCCACACTGCAGCGGTGAGGAGGAGCAGTGCTGGCGGCCCCACTGCCCATGCAGCTGTGACCAAGGCGCTCCACCATGAAACAAGTGGGGCACCAGGGTGACACTGAGTGAGTGACACCCAGACTCCCGCGCACCAGGTAACAAGTCTCCCCACATACACCCCATCTCCCGATCCCTAGAATCATCTCCTGTCTGTCCGCCCATGGGTGCATTGGCTTCTATGCACGATGCCCCCTTAATGCTGATAGAAGCTGCCTCTGTATGGAGCCCATGATGGCAAGTGTCTGGGGCAGGGGGGCTGCAGCGTGGTGGGTTTATCGCTAGGACCCAGAAGCAGCTGGGATGCGGCTGGGAGCGATCGCTGGGGTCAGTCCCGGCAGCAGGAAGTGACTCGCAGCCGCTGCGGTGACTCGGGCTCCTGGCGAGATCCCCGAGCCCCGGCGGCTGGTGCTGGGAGCCCGGAGCCCTGGCTGCAGCCGGGAGAGGGGAATCTCCAGCAGGGCCCTTCCCGCTGCTCCCCAGGAGCCTCTCCCAGGGCAGAGCCCCCAGCCCGGCCAGGGCCCTTCCCGGCCCGGCCCCAGCCCCAGGGGGGCCCCGCTCGGAGGGAAGGTAAGAGAGACCCCCACACACACCCGCAGGGAGCGGTGCCCCCACACACACCCGGGCTGCAGGGGGAGGTTTGGCCCCAGGCTGCTCCCAGCTCCCGGTGTGTGCAGGGCCGGGGGAGCCAGCCCGCGCCGCTCTGGGGCTGGGACAGTGACACGGCGGAGCCGGTACGGGGCTGAAGAGGGGCGGCGGGGGTGTCAGTGTAAGGGGGGATTTTAGGGGGCAGGATGGGATGGGGCAGGGGGTTGCTGAAGGGAGGATGGGGCAATGCAGGGCAATCGGGAAACTTATGGGGCGGATGGGAACAGGGCTGCAATAGAGGAAAAGTTGGGGGGCACTGCGAAGGAAAGGGGGGTATGTAGGGATCGGAGGCTGGGGGGAGACAGAACAAGAGCAGACTGGCTGGGGGAGGGAGAGAAACAAGGTAGGAATCGGGGAGAATGAGAGGGAGAGATACAAGGGCAGCTCCCCCACTCCATGGGGCAGCAGAGGGTGAGGGGCTGCCCCACCCCACAGCCAGAGGGGAATTCCTTTAGCACAACTAGTCAATGATGTTTTGGGGGTAGGTGGAGGCTTCCACCTAAGGGCTCAAAAGCTACTAAGCAAATATCCAGGCTCCCCCCCCCCACACACACACACATATGCGCCCAATTTATTTTATTTTATTTTTTTAAGACACACTCATGATTTTGGGGTCTGTCTCATAGAATCATAGAAGAAGAACAGAATCATAGAAGATTAGGGTTGGAAGAGGCCTCAGGAGGTCATCTAGTCCAACCCCTGCTCAAAGCAGGACCAACACCAATTAAATCATCCAAGCTAGGGCTTTGTCAAGCAAGGCCTTAAAAATCTCTAAGGATGGAGATTCCACCACCTCCCTATGTAACCCATACTCCAGATGTGGCCTCACCAGTGCCGAATAGAGGGGAATAATCACTTCCCTCAGGCTGCGGGCAATGCTCCTACTATTACAGCCCAATATGTTGTTAACCTTCTTGGTAACAAAGACACACTGTCGACTCATATCCAGCTTCTCGTCCACGGTAACCCCTAGGTCCTTTTCTGCAGAACTGCTTCCTAGCCATTCGGTCCCTAGTCTGTAGCAGTGCATGGGATTCTTCCTTCCTAAGTGCAGGACTCTGCACTTGTCTTGTTGAACCTCATCAGATTTCTTTTGGCCCAATCCTCCAATTTGTCTAGGTCACTCTGGACCCTATCCCTACCCTCCAGCGTATCTACCTCTCCCCCCAGCTTACTGTCATCTGCGAACTTGTTGAGGGTGCAAACCACGCCATCCTCCAGATCATTAATAAAGTTGTTGAACAAAACCGTCCCCAGGACTGACCCCTGGGGCACCCCGCTTGATACCTGCTGCCAACTAGACATCGAGCCATTGATCACGACCCGTTGAGCCCAACAATCTAGCCAGCTTTCTATCCACCTTATAGTCCATCCATCCAGCCCTTACTTCTTTAACTTGCTGGCAAGAATACTGTAGCAACCGTATCAAAAGCTTTGCTAAAGTCAAGATATGAGTGTTGGGGGCGGAGTGTTGGGGACTGCCCAGGGCCCTGGTCTGATTTCTGGGCAGGATTCAGATCTCAGCCACACTGGTGTCAGACCGGAGTCACTGCTGGCTCTGGCAGGGGGTGAGTGCGGATGGCCCAGTGAGATTAGCCTCTGCCTGCCTGTCCCTGGGGGCTGCAGGGGTAGCACAGGGAGGCTCAGTCATTAGCTGCTCCCACCAGAGGGCTCTGGCTATTGCTAAGAGAGAGGAGGAGGCTGGTGTGTGTCTCTCTGCTCCTGATATTAGAGCCCTTGAATTGAGCTGCTTGGGTCAAATACTGCTGCCTCCTCTACCAGACTGTGAAACTGCTGCTCCCAGCTGGGGCTGTACCGGGGACAGACCTTCATTAAAGTCCCCGTCTATGCCCAGCACTGGTAGGGACTTTCACCGTGCCTGGAACCGGCCCCTGGGGCAGTCCCGGGCTGTGCCCACACCAGCCCCTGAGCTGCAGCCTGCAGGTGATGGGGAGAGACCTGGGGGAAAGGACTGGGGCCAGGCAGAAAAGTGACTCTGCACAAAGGGCCCCTTTCAGGGACCAGCTGGTGAGTTTGTACCAGAGGGGGAAGGGTTCCCCGTGTGTCTGCGGGTCCCAGAGCTGCTGCCCTCAGTGACACAGACATAGCTGTTGTAGTAGCATATCTGTTTACTAGAGAGCAAACGCCCATATAAATGGAGCAGTAACCAGTTCTCCCAGGCAGAGGGAAGGGAGACAGGGAATGAGACAGAAAGGGAGAGTGGAGAGACTGAAAGGGGCAGCAGGAGCACGAAGGGAGAAGAGAGTCTCCAAGCCTCATTCCCTGCATCACCCCTGGGCAGACTGACTCTCTTGGGAACAAGGGGAGGAGCTGACAGAGGAAAAACCAGGTTCTGCCACAGTCAAGTGCCCGCACTGCTGGGGGGACATGTTGCCCTCGGGGCCAATGTCAGGGGGAATCCCCCAAAGTAGCTCCTTTGATTTTGCTCTTTTCTAGCATTTGTCTTAGTGACTCTGTCCCTGGGGGGGTTTAAAAGTGTCTCAGGGGTTCAGTGCTGGTGGGAGGGGCCGGGTCTGTGTTGTAATAAAGTGACTGAGGGTTTTCTCAGCGTAGCAGAGTCCAGAGCGTCTCTTCTGCAGGGAGAGAGCCTGGGGGGAATTGGGGTGTGAAATGGACTCAAGCCCCTTCTGAAACTTCCCTCATTGCCCCTATCACCCTGACAGGCTGAGGAATCACGTCCACATTTTGCTCCAGATCGTCCTGTCTTCCAGGGGACAGGGAAGAGAACTGGCTGTGATGGAGCTAGCTCAGGTAGGGGATTTTCAGGGAGCTGCAGGGGGATTTGCCGCAGAGGGGGAGGGGCAGGAAACACCCAGGGGGAGGCAGGGATGGGACAGGGTGTGATAAACCTGCTGGGACACATTCAACTTGGAGCCTGATTTTCTGAACAGGTCCATTGGCGGTGGCGGGGAGAAACATTCCCCCATTTCTGAAACAGGAAACACACACCCCTGGGCAGGGCTGGGAAAACTGACCAGACTTCCAGTGCTGGAGCCTGAACCCACTGGCCAGAGGCTGCTGTGAAATACGAAGGGATGCTGTTGGGATTCCTGTCCCTGTCCCTGTCCCCTGCTCAGCTCTGCTTCCCATATCAGCCTGTGGCAGGTGTGTGGGAAATGAGAAGACACTACCCTGCTCTGTGTGCTGGGGGCGGGACAAGGAGCTCTCACCTTCTCCCCACCCCCTGAAGCCTCCTGACTGCTCTGAGCAGGATGGGGGTGGGATTCTGCTACTCTGTCACCCCCAGAGCTTCCATTTGTTTATCGTTTCTCCTGTGTGATTAGTGGGATTGTGGCTGGGGCAGCAGGCACTGAATGGGGGACTCTTGTTGTTTCAGATGCCAGTGACCTTCGAGGAGGTGGCTGTGTATTTCACTCAGGGGCAGGGGACTCTGCTGGACCCCACTCAGAGAGCCCTTTATAGGGATGTCATGCAGGAGAACTATGAGACGGTGACCTCGCTGGGTAAGGGATTCCCATTCCCTCAGTTATTGGAAGCCGTGGGGTCTGCGTATCTGAATCTGGTCAGGGTCTTCCCTGCTCAATTGGATTAGGGGGGACTAGGTCCTAGAGTCCACAGCTGCAGCATGAGAGAGACTTTCATCTCCATACCCCCTCCAGTGGGATAAGTGAATCAGAAACGTAAGAACATAACAGTTACCATACTGGATCAGACTATGGTCCATCTAGCATGGTATCCTGTCTCTGACAGTGGCCGGTACCAGAGGTTCATAGGGAGTGTTCAGACACAGGGCAATTATGGAGTGACCCATACCTGTCTTCCATTCCCGGCTTCTGTTAGCTAGTTGTTTGCCATCACTCCAAGCATTGGGTTTCATCCCTGACCATCTTGGCTAATAGCTCTAGCTGGACCTATTCTCCATGAAGTTTTCCAGTTCTTTTTTGAACCCAGTTATACTTTTGGCCATCACAACATCCATCAACAATGAGTTCCACAGGTTAACTGTGCATTTTTTGTGAAAAAAGAACTTCCTCTTGTGTGTATTAATCCTACTGCCTGTTAATTTAATCGAGTGTCCCCTGGTTTTGTATTATATGAAAGGGCAAATAACACTTCTGTATTCAGTTTTTGCAAACCACTCATGATTGTATAGACCTCTGTCAGATCCCCCCTTAGTCATCTTTTTTTTAAACTAAACAGCCATAATCTGTTTAGTCACCCCTATTATGGAAGCCATTCCATACCCTTGGTTATCTTTGTTGCCCTTCTCTGAACCTTTTCCAGTTCCACTATTCCTTTTTTGAGGTGGTGCTACCAGAACTGGGCACAACATTCCAGATGTGGGTGCAGTATGGATTTATATAGTAGCATTATGATATTTTCTATCCCCTTTCTAATAGTTCCTAACATACTGTTAGCCTTTTTAACGGCTGCTGCACATTGAGCAGAAGTTTTCAGAGAACTATCCACAGTGACTCCAAGATCTTTTTCTTGATTGGTAACAGCTAATTTAGAATTTACCACTGGAAAAAATAATCCTAACTATACATATTCAATGTGCACTACTTTGCACTTATGAACCTTGAATTTCATCAGCCATTTTGGTGCCCAATATCCTGGTTCAGTGAGATCCTTCTGTAACTCCTCACAGTCTGCTTTAGACTCATCTGTCTTGAACAATTTTGTATCATCTGCAAATTTTGCCACTTCACTATTCATCCCTTTTCCCAGATCATTAATGAATATGTTGAATAACAGAGGTCCCAGTACAGATTCTTTGGGGGCCCCACTATTCACCTCTCTCCATTGTGAAAACTGACCATTTATTCTTACCCTTTGTTTCCTATCTTTCAACAAATGATTGATCCATGAGCAGACCTTCCTTCTTATCGCATTACTTTTAGTTTCCCTAATAACCTTGGTAAGAGACTTTGTTAAAGGGTTTCTGAAAGTCCAAGTCTATGTCGACTGGATCGCCCTTGTCCACAATGCTTGTTGACTCCCTCAAAGAATTCTAATAGATTGGTGAGGCATGATTTCCCTTTACAAAAGCTGTGTTGACTCTTCCCCAATATATTGTGTTCATCTGAGGGTCTGATAATTCTGTTATTTAGTATAGATTCAACCAATTTGCCCGATACTGAAGTTAGACTTTTTGGTGTTTTCCACCCTACAAGGATATTAAATTTAATTACATTACAGGTCATTTTTACTGAACAGTTCAGCTATAGTTATCTCTTGGTCCAGATCCTGTCCTCCACTTAGAACTAAATCAAGAATTGCCTCTCCCCTGGTGGGTTCAAGGACTAGCTGCTCCAAGCAACAGTAACTTATAGTGTCTAGAAATTTTATCTCTGAATCATGCCCTGAGGTGACATTTACCCCATCAGTATGAGGATAGATGAAATCCCCCATTACTTTTGCATTTTCTACTGCTGTAGCCTCTCTGACCTCCCTTAGCATATCACAATCACTGTCACTATCCTGGTCATGTGGTCAGTAGCATATTCCTACTGCTATGCTCTTAATATTCAAACATGGAATTTCTATCCATAATTTACAGTTTGATTCATTTTAGAATTTCACACTATTTGCCTCTGGTTTTGTTTGTTTGTTTGTTTGTTTTTTATTATATAATAGCACCACTGCCCCACCGGCGTGACATACTCTATCATGGCTATATATTTTGTACACTGGTATTACTGTGTCCCATTGATTATCCTCGTTCCACCATGTTTCTGCAACGCCTGTTATATCGATAATCTCATTTAATCCATGCACTCAAGTTCAGCCGTATTAGTATTTGTAGACTTCTAGCATTTGTATGTAAGCACTTGTACGTTTCCTCAATATGCTTACCTTCATGTGTTATGTTTCAGTGGGACACTTTTTTGTGAAACTGTTCCTCTCTAGCTCCTACCTGTACTTTACCAACTTCTTCCCTAGCCTCGATACTAGGATATAAAGCTACCCCTTTAATAAATTCATCTCTAAGGGATGTCTTCACCCGATCCAAGGCTCTCCCCCGCCCTTAGTTTAAAAACCTCTCTACAAACTTTTTAATTTTACATGCCAGCAGTCTGGTTTCATTTTGGTTTAGTGGGAGGCCATCCCTCCTATAAAGTTTCCTCCTTCCCCAAAAAGTTCTCCGGTTCCTAATAAACCTAAATATCTTCTTCCTACGCCATCATCTCGTCCATGCATTGAGACCCTGCAGTTCTGTCTATCTTCCTGGCCGTGTGCGTGTAACTGGAAGCATTTCAGAGAATGCTACCATGGAGGTCCTGGACTTTAATCTCTTACCTAGCAGAGTAACTTTGGCCTCCAGGAACACCGTCCTACCTTTCCTTGTATCATTGATACCTACAAGTACCATGACCATCAGCTCCTCCCCAACACTACTTCTAAGGCTATCTAGATGTCTTGTGAGATCTACTGCCTTTGCATGCAGTGGGCAATGCATCATGCTGTTCTCCTGGTCATCACAAACCCAACTATCTATATTTGTAATATTCAAATCCCCCATTACTTTTACCTGTCTCTTCCTAATATCTGGTGTCACCCATCCAGCGGTATCCTCAGTGTCAGATGATATCATGACATCATCTTGAAGGTGGGTCCCAATTATGGGATCATTTCCCTCTGTTCCAGCGTGATGCTTTCGAGCCCCAAGATTTTCATCTTCCTCAACAGCACTGGGGCTGTTGGACAGGAGGTGGGACCGCTCTACTATGTCCCTAAAAGTCTCCTTTGTGTACCTCTCTATCTCCCTTTGCTCCTCCAGTTAAGGCACTCTAGCCTCCACACCCTGTACTTTGTCTCTAAGGGCAGTGAGTTCCTTGCATCGCATGCACATATTCGCCAGCTGCCCACGAGGCAGGTAAATTACATGTTGCACTCTAATGGACGTGCTAATTCATCCCATCTCTCCAGCTTTCAAGGGGATAGAAGCCATGTATTGTCCTGCCTATATTACTGCTCACTCACACACAGAATCCTTGTTCTCCTCCCTTCCTGGGACTAGCTCCATCCATGGGGAGGGCTCTGGGCTCTGCAGATTTGGAAATAGGCAGGGGTTTAAAACACCAGAGCTGTATGTGCATCAGCAAGTCCCCCAGAGTGCACAGATCCTGGGAACTCCTAGTGAGAGTCAATTTCCCCCACCTCCCCACATGCCTGCCTCTCCCAGGGAGGCTCAATGACCATGTCCCCATTTGTTCAGATTCCACATCCCCCCCTCCAGCACAGCACAGGGCCAGGTTAAAAGCTGGGAATGCCCTTTGTGACAGATACTCTACCAATACTCCTTGCGTCCTGATCTTCTTTGATTTCACCCCCTGAGCAGGATTTCCTGTTCCCAAACCTGACCTGATCGCCCGACTGGAACAAGGGGAAGAGCCGTGGGTCCCAGATTGCCAGGCCGCAGAGGAAGTGGAGAGCCCGAAAGGCATCCACACAGGTGAGGAGTCAGGGAAACAGACACAGAAACATCTGGCGAGTGAAGGAAAAAGCTGGGACTCTCAAAATGTGCTGTGAGTGAGAGACCTCAGTTCTGCCCCATCTCACCCAGGTCAGGGCTGCAGTCAGCAGGTGTCGTAGCATCAAGGCAAAGATCAGTCACGGCTTCCAAACCATCCTGTTAGCTGTCAGGAATTTCCTCCTGACATTACTTCCCTGGGAGTGTTGGGGTAGGATGGGGAGGCAGAATCCAATGTCTTCATCTCCCCAACAGTGACTGTGTTGTGTTTTCCCTGTTTTCTAGTCCCCTTTCTGTCCTTTCTCCACAGCACAGACAGTGACTCCTGTCTGGATTCTCTCTCTCCCAGCAGGCGATAGGACAGTGAGTGAGAACAAGGAGGAGAATCAGCAGCAGGAAGGTCCTGAGAAAGTGGAACCGCAGGAGAGGTTTTTGAGAAGAGCTGAAGGGAATTTTTCCCAGTGCTTGGAACAGGAAAAAGCCTGGGGAAATCGGTGCAGGTCAGAGAGGCAGCTGAGAAACTATTTCATTTATTGGGCGGATGAATCCATTCAATATGGGGGAGGATGCAAAGATCCCAAGGAAACCACAGCCCCACAGACGTATCACCAGGAAGAGAAACACTATAAACGCCTAGAGAGTAGGAAAAGTTTCAATGTGAGTAGAAACCTTGTTACATGTCGGAGAAACCATTCAGGCGAGAAACCCTATAAATGCTTGGACTGTGGGAAAACCTTCTGTAAGAGCTCAGACCTTATTAAGCATGGTAGAATGCACACAGGGGAGCGACCTTATAAATGCCTGGACTGTGGGAAAACCTTCACTCAGAGCTCACACCTCATTACACACCAGAGGCTGCACACAGGAGAGAGACCATATAAATGCCTTGAGTGCGGGAAAGGATTCAACGTGAGATCAAACCTTATTAAACATCAGCAAAATCACACAGGAAGGAAACCCCATATTTGTTTGGATTGCGGGAAATGTTTCAATCACAGCTCCTACCTTATTACGCATCAGAGACTGCACACGGGAGAGAGACCCTATAAGTGTCTTGAGTGTGGGAAAAGTTTCAATCAGAGCTCTAGTCTTATCACGCATCTGAGAACCCACACGGGAGATAAACCCTATCAGTGCCTCGACTGTGGGAAAAGCTTCAATGTGAGATCACAACTTATTATTCATCAGAGAATCCACACGGGAGAGAGACCTCATAAATGCTTGGACTGTGGCAAAAGCTTCAGTCACAGCTCACACCTTACTAAACATCGGCGAATTCACACTGGAGAGAGACCCTACAAATGTCTAGAGTGTGGGAAAACTTTCAATCAGAGCTCACACCTTATTATGCATCAGAGAACCCACACGGGAGAGAGACATTATAAGTGCCTCGAATGTGGGAAAAGTTTTGTTCGGAGATCAGCCCTTATTACGCATCAGAGAATCCATACGGGAGAGAAACCCCATACATGTTTGGACTGTGGGAAAAGTTTTAGTCAGAGATCAGCCCTTATTAGACATCAGAGAATCCATACGGGAGAGAAACCTCATACATGCCTCAACTGTGGGAAAAGATTCATTCAGAGATCACACCTTATCACACATCAGACAATCCACATGGGAGAGAAAACCCATAAATGTTTGGACTGTGGGAAAAGCTTCAATAACAGCTCCTACCTCACCAAACATCGGAGAATCCACAAGGGTGAGATACCCTAGAAACACTTCAATGGTGGGAAAAGATTCAGTGGGAGCTCTCACATTTTTATACATCGGAGAATTCCCACAAGAAAGAGCGATTTTTGACTTTTAAAAGACTTTTAATAAAATCGGTACATAAAACGCACTGAAAACAAGAAAAAGAAATGACAGATTCGAGCCTGTAGAAGAGTTGAAAGTCACTGAGCAGAGAGTGGATGCGGTTCCAGGGTTCCTAGCCAATCGCTCATTAGGAGCACAATTAAAATTGCCCCCCGCTAACATTAAAATCTCACTTCTCGAACAATGTGCTAAAAGAGCACCCAAGCTCTGAAAAATCCCACTCACCTGGGCTTTCCCTACAGTAGCAGCACAGTCATCCGAGATCCTGCTGCAGCAGGGTCCGCCTCCCAGCAGCTCACTGGGCATCCGGTAGGGTGTGCCTGATTGATTGCGCTTCCTGATTGGTGAAGGGGTGGAGCTAGCTACTACGTGACCCAGCAGCAGCCGGGGCTCGCTGGAAACTCAATGCGTTCCATGCCTGCAGCTGCATTTGGTCCTGCTTCTTGCTTTCTGCTTCTCACCAGTCTGCTCTTGGGCCCAGCTGCCAGTTCCTGTCCTTCTCCATCTCCATCCTGTCCTTCTCCAACCCCTGTCTCTGCTTCCTGAACATGCTTCTGACATACCCATTGACTCTGGCTTTCAGCCTTTGATCCCTGGCTGTCACCCTTGGCTCTGTGATGGGTGTAGGGAACAGATATGCCTTTGAGTGATTAATAGTTACTGGTTCCCTCTGGCCCTCAGAAAAATAGAAAAGTCTGCCTCTGTTTATCCCAAAACAGGATCCACCTAAGAAGTAAAGACAACAAGAAAATGGTTCATATTATATGACACACCTTGTCTAAGAACCCATAGATCAGCCAAGGTTGAGATTTCCTCTCCCCAAGAATAGAAACTAAAATGTCTAAATGAGAGCACTGTTAATCAGCTAGGCAAGAATATCTCGTAATTTGCTTATGTATAAACCTCTTTCTCCCTCCCAGCCTAGTTATAAAGAACTCCAAGTTTCCAAACTACGGTCACACCCTGCTTGCCTATGCAAAATGTTTTCACCCCAAAGTATAAACTATACATTGCTTTCCTTGTAAATCAAATATACTGTGAACCATCTCTTTCCCCCCAAATTAAAATCCGCACATTTGTTTGCGTTGTGATTGTGAATCAGATCTACATCCTTCTGTATGTGGAAAATGTCTCTTGTTCTGTTGTATGTCCTAAATAAGGTGAAATGCTTATGTACAATCAAAGAATGTATGGAGTATGTCCTTTAAATTTAGAAGAGTATAAAGGTTTTGTTGGGTTTCATTGTAAATGTTGCACTCTAAGAATTGTATGGCACAAGGAAGAAGAAATGTAAAAAGATATAAACCAGGGTATAACTTTGGGATATTAAGAGAAATTGCTTAAAAGGGGGTGTCCCAATCGATAGAAGGGGCTAATGATGAAATACAATCCTTGAAATGAATCAAATGTGTAAAGCCTCTGTTTAAAAAGAGGGTTGAAGAAATGTGTGATACACTGTCGCCACCTACTGGATACCAATGGAAGCAGCAAAGAAAAAACCTAAGCACTTATTTGACCTGGTCCAATAGGAATGTGTGTGTGGCCCTTTTCTATGAGCCCTGAAAGTAGGGAATATAAACTGAAGTCACCATATGCTAAAGAGAGTTGACTGAACCCAACAAGAAAGTGAAAAATCCTAAGTACAACTCACTCCTGGACCAGACATGTGGAAAGAACTCTTCCCCCAGCCCAGGGTTATATGGATAAGAAGTGGTGAGATTTCATTTCAAGGGTTGTATTTCCCCTTCTGTTCTTTCATATAAATTACTGTGAGTTATCTTGCTGAGTCTGTGCTCTCTAGTGAGACCTCAAGTAACCATATTTTAACTTCTTTGTAAGCCCAAGCAAATTGGCCTAACAGATTGAAAAGAATTGCTTTTAGCAATTGTTTTTAATGGTCTAAACTTGTCTCTTTCGGACCAGTCCAGTCAAACTGTACTAACCACACTCTTCAAAGTGCCTTGCAGACAAGTGCACTCTGGGAAGTGTGATAAATGTGTTAGGAATTTAGAATTGATAGTCACAAGTCAATGTAATCCGAAATCTTGGTACTTTGTTCCTTGATATAACTGCTGAGCCTCAACGCTAGCCTCTGAGAATTGCTTACAAGACTGTATTGTGTGTGTCGTATACACCTAGCACTTCGGTTGTGTCTGCACTTTGGTGGTGAACTGCTGATTGTATAGTGATGTGACTCTGGGTGAATTAATAAATTGTTGTTTGGTTGAGGATAAGCATGTGTCCTGATGTGAGAAACATAGTTCAACTTAAAAGTGGACCTGAAAAGAACCCATCATTAAAACTGGTAAGCTAATGTTCCCTCCACTGAATACAAGGGATTCTGTTGGATTCTAGTATATATAGGCCTAATGTGTTAGGTTTCAGCTTTGAAATCTATCTGGCACCCTGGCAAATTCATAAATTGACTCCTTTTCATGCTTACAGCTCTGCTCTTGACGATGACCCCGGGTGCCCTGTGGTCCTGATTCTTGTCTCCAGCTTGATTCCACTCTACCCTCCAGGCCTGGTCATCCCCATGGTTCTGACCATTAGACACAACCACCTACAACCTGGTTGTGATCCTGCCAGTTTGAGCCACCCAAGAGAGAAAGATCAGAGACCTGATTTGCTGAGAAACTGGCCTCTGGTAAGGCCTTCCTCTTCTCAGAGGTAATGGATACCTTTCAGAGGCTGCCACCCAAGACTGAGGTCTCGCTACCCAGGGCCCAGGTCTCTCAGGAACCAAAGATTTTGCTGCTGGCCAAGTTAGACAGCAACTGCAGGAAATTTCACGGCTTCCTAAATTAGTGCGGGCTCCTGTTCATGCTACGACCCCGTTCATTTCCCAGTAACTAAGCCCAAGTGGGTTATATTATCAGCCTATTAGTGGGGGAAACCCTAATCTGGGTGTTTCCCCCGCCTAGAATTTCCAGCTCCTTGCTAGGGCATCTTGAGGAATTCAGCTGAGACATGGTGGCTGTCTTCAATGACCCAAATTGCACCCATTCTGCTGAGACCACACTTCGGGACTTACACCAGGGGAATAGCCCCGTTACCAGGTTTGCTGTAGAATTCCAACCCTTAGCAGCTGGCACTAGATGGAATGAAGCAGCAGAACATTCCTATTTCCAATGCCAGGTAGAGCCCTCATCCAACCCAGTGGCTGTGGCCAAGCTGTGCATCACCGTCAATCACCTGGCTGAATGCCGACTAGAAAGTCCAGTTTTCAACCCGCACTGGCTGACCAGCTTCAACCCTGTCGTACTGCCATAGTAAGGAACCAGCAGTGAACCACAGACATATGCCTGCATTGTGGGGAACTTGGGCACTTCATCCAGAGGTATCCCAATACGATTCATGTTCTGCCCCGGTCAGGAAAGCCCTCTTCTGTCAACCAGTACCCTAGCCGTGATCAGTCAGCAAGCCACCGCTGTCCAACTTCCTCTTACTTACAACATCCTGCCATGTCTGAGCCGAGGATTCCAGGAAACTCAGGAGCCTCTGACATATTTTTGGACATACATTTTGCTTGAACATACAACATTCCCATGCCCGGAGAGCGTCCAAGCATCAGTATTGGGAGGGCAGCCTCAGGGACTGCCCGAGAAGCAGCAGTCCCGGGAGCGGCCAGAGCAGCGGCTTAGGGCAGCCCCAGAGACCATCGGGAGAATGGTCTCCAGGGGCCTTTGAGCAGCGGGCCACTGGGGCCCATCAGCCCCCACCGCTGGAGCAGGGGCCCCCCAGAGTAGCGGGACCCCAGGAGCAGAGATTTAGTCATCATGGGTATTTGTAGTAAAAGTCATGGACAGGTCACGGACTTCCATGAATTTTTGTTTATTGCCTGTGACCTATCCATGACTTTTACTAAAAATACCCATGATTAAATATTTCTCAAGGGAGAGTGCTCTCACCACTGGGCCATGGGATCATCCAATGTCGGGCTCCCTCAATATCTCCTGCTGACCCTGGGACACGTTGGGTGTCATTACAGAGTCCTTGGGGAAGGGGACGGGGCCCTCCCAGGCAGGTGCCCCAACCCCTGGGTTGCTGAGTCAGTCTCTTGCTCTGGCCCAGTGAACATCTCCAGCTGTGCTGGGCACAAAGGGGGCTTTGCTGAAGGTCTCTCCCCAGCACAGACTCTGCTCAGGGAGCAGCAGCTGCGTGGTTTGTGGGCTCCCAGATCCCGAGGGAGGAGACAGCAGCTTGTGACCCAGGCTGGAAACCAGAGAGAGATGGAGGCGGCCTCCTCTCTCTGAGCAGGGCCCCTCTGGCCACAACAGCTACTGAATCAACTCCCCCCAACCGCTCTCTGCTGGACCCCTAACCCTGGAGGGATCCAGTGTAGCTTGGGCTGACCACGAAATGGGTGCCAGTCAGTGAGTGGTGCTGAAACCCCTGTTCCCCCAGGAAAAATTTTGGTCCTGGAGCCAATCCTAAGTGGGCAGAGCACCAAGACACCCTGAAGCAGGCCGGCCGGAGCTTTGCCGCTGACATCCAGGCTCTGGATGGGGACCAGCTCTCAGCGACCACATGGGGGCGCCAACTGGGTGAGGTGTAGTTGGAATTCCTAGGGGCAGATATGAGGGGGGTTTGCCTAGAGCCCAGGGATGGGTGAATCCGGGCCTACAAATCACTGAATGAACCTGTTGCCATGGTACTGACAGCTCCCTGACCTGAGAGGCAGGGGAGCAGAGCTGGTATCTCTGACCAAGGCTGGTAGCCACGGATGGGGGTGTATACCAGTTTTGTACTCGAGGGACTCACACACCGAGTCAGATGGTGTCACCGAGAAACGTGTCCCAGGCAGCCTCTCTAGGACCAGGACTCGAACCCATCACCCCTGTGTCCATGTAGACATTAGGGACCCTGTCTGGAACAAGGCCCAGTCTCCATAGAAACCCCCCTTCTCCCCAGTCCCCGGGATCTGCCCGGCTCCTTTCTGTCCCACCATTGATCCCGCGGTTTCTATGCACGATGCTCCCTAATGCGGGGAGAAGCTGCCCGTGCCCAGGGGCGGTGGGACCCCAAGGGGCAGGGTCTGGGGCAGGGGGCTGCAGCGCGGTGGGTTGATCGCTAGGACCCAGGAGCAGCTGGGAGGCGGCTCTGGGGGGGAGCGATCGCTGGGCTCAGTCCCGGGGCCAGAAAGTGACTCGCGGCCGCTGCGGTGACTCTGGCTCCCAGCGAGATCCCCGAGCCCCGG